ACATCTTGTATATCATGGAAACGAGGGTTTTTAAAGGAGCATTAGAAATTTTGATCAGGATGCTCTTAATAGCTTAATCCCAAAGTTTGAGCAAGATTCACCGGGGAATGACTTCCGTAAGCCTTGTGCCCCCTTCTTTTACATCTCACCAGTAGCGGAGGGAGGGGTCAGAAACTGCCAAAAACGTCTCACGAATTAATGGTCGTCCCTAAGTTTTAAGCTCTAGGGAATCTCCAGTTTGGCATACGGCCTAAACACTTGTGAGGTTGTGGATAACACTTTACGAGTTTTGTCAATACACTCAGAGTTCCAGCATCTCAGCGTCACGGAGGTTGTTACACCGCTGCCTTCTAGCAGCATTTGATAGATATTATACAGGGTGACTTTGAAGTTGAGTCATTAATTTTCAGATAATGATTGTAGAAGGAAGATAAACCAAAATATGTGTGTAAAAATAAAAAAAAAATTAAAAAAAAATTTTACCTTGTTTTATAAAGAATCCTCCCGACAAGTATTTCAGTGCGGACCTGTATTTGATCGTGAGGTCCCCTGTGAGGTCTTAAGTCACCTGATTCACGAGCCCGTTGTACTACATTAACAAAGGCACGAGGGGTTGGTTGCACTCGATTGGGAAACCGATCCGCATAAACATGTGCCATTTTTTATTTCGTTTGAGCCACGCACTATTCACACGCGACTGAAACTGACTGTATGTATAACTGAACTGAATTGTAATCGTAAAAACATCGTTCCAAATTCTTTCGCTTTTTTGTTTCCGATGCGATGAACCGTTGTTGCCAAACACGAACACATGATATTATTGAGACAGGGCGGTACTCAAACTTCCAAAGGGCTATAACTTTGTTACTTTAATTTTACCAGAAAAATGGTAAAGGAAAAAAACATTTCTTTTGATCAGATCTATTCACTGTTAAAATAAATGACTCAACTTCGAAGTCACCCTGTATATTGTTATAATGAGAACTTGCTTCTGTATCTGGTTTCTTATACATATACTTGCCTGGTCAAAAATTGCCAATTGTCATATCGTGCCTATCTGTTAGCCTTGAGCTTTCAGTTCTTACGAGTGGTGCACAAAAAACGGTACGCACCTGCCTACAAAAGTAACCATGCTTTGTCGCTTCCTCAAGATTTTAGTAATAAGATCAATAATTGTAAAGTAATAACTATGTATTAGCGTAATGACGTTAAAGCTAGGGGTGACGATTGTGAAGAAATGGGTATATATAGGGTGAAGGCGTGTACATACATGCAATTAGATAGATACGTTTGTAGGGCTGGTCTGGCCAAGTAAAACTACATTTATGTTTTAATTTGCTTATTGTATGATATTTCGGCCCCACAGTGACCTTTTTCAAGTACAATAACAATTAGAGCCAGTATATCTTTGTCTATCTGCCTTCTGGTACCAGTACATTTATTTGTTTTTTCTTCATTCATATATAGTGTATTGCGACCATAGATTGAAGCTGCCGAAATCCGGGGAAGGCTTCATTATAAGTATAAAATGGCACCGCGTAAAGCCAACTCTCCAAACCGACAAGCGAACATGAGGTTATCTGTCGTTTTTTTATTGTGCCGGACACGTCACCCTCTGTCTTGTGTTGTGTATACCTCTCTTACTGGGTGTTATTAATGACCTCATACAACTACAGGCTAGGGAAATCCGTTAAAGCCGACCTTGATATTTTAATAACGCAATGTTTAACGTGGAATTTTCATTTCAGGTCTTTTGATACCAAGTTCACATTTCAAATTTGTATTACGAAGCAACCGTATACGCGAGGAAGTGGGAAGAGGTCTTGATCGACGCGTTCGGCGTGCGGGTTAAATAGTCACAATGGAACGTTGGACCGGAGCGCAACGTGCTTTTGCTATCGACGCTGATTCATACGCAGCTGCAATTCGGAAATTTTGTATACGATACAGCATTCGCCGACCAAGAGATGCCCCAAGTAGGAACCTATTGAAAAAGTGGATTATGAGGTTCTGTGAAACAGCCCCTACTCTTAGTCAACCCATTGCTGGCCCCACGCCTACTGTAACAACCGAAGAAAATGTGCGTCGAGTAAGTGATTCGGTCATTGCAAATCCTACGGAAGCATTCCGCAATTTTGGAAATCCCTAGGTCAACACTGCATGGCATACTGACAGAAAAAATGGGTTTTCATCTTTATAAAATCCAATCAGTCCATGCTTTACAGGAAAGTTTACGTATTACGGAAATCTTGTGCTGAACGGATGTTGAACCTTTTTCCTACGCAACGTAGATACGAGAACATTGTTTTCAGAGACGAGGCCAATTTTCACTTAGACGGTTATGTGAACAAGCAAAATTGCAGGTATTGGGCATCAACGAACCCAAAAGAGAAACATCAACAACAGCTACATAGTCCAAAGGTGACTGTTTGGTGCGCCATATCCTCTAGCGGTATTATTGGGCCGTATTTATTTGAAGATGAAAACGGTCACGCGTTGACAGTCAATTCTCAGCGATACAAGGACATGATTGACACACTTTTGCTCCTGTTGTAAGAACAGAACGTCTTAACAGAAACTCATGGTTTCAACATATTTCCAGAGAATCGATGGACACGGTGAAAGCACTTTTTTCCTCAATAAGTTACTATATATCGAAGTTTGGAGACATTCACTGGCATCCTAGAGATCACCCGACCTCATACCATGTGATTATTTTTTGTGGGATTATTCAAAGTCAAAAGTGTGTTCCAATAATCCACGAACACTAGAGGAGCTTAAAGCCAACATTTGACGAGAAATAAACAACATCACTCCGGATATCTGCAAGAGAGTGCTTCAAAATTGTTTAAGAAATAAAACCCGCCGAATTTACGAATACGTTTATAGTAATAAATATTTTCTTTTCATTAAGTTTGTATTTTTGTTCTTAGATCAAAAAGTGAACTTTCCCATTATTTAATCTCTCACGTGCTCAAAAAGTGACGTCATTCTTTAGATTCTTTGGAATGACGTCACTTTGCTTATTCTCTCATCAAGTCCTTTCATTTGATACCCATATAATAATAATAGTAAATGTATTAATTAATACACATCAGTTAAGCCAAAAGTCTAGTCTTACACTTAACCTTACTGTGAGAGGGTAACTAACAAAGATAAACTCAATACACAAAAAATAATAATAATAAGAAAACGATTACAATACTCACATACGAGTACAATCCAACAAAGCAAAGTAATGTGTAAAAGTGATTTAACAGATGCACAGTTTAAAGTTTAAATAGTTCACGTCCCAGTACCTTTGAACTATGCCGTCAGCTGTTGACAAGTCTCCTCTCGATGGATCGGATCAGAAGAATTGCACGACCAGACAGCATGAAAGGTAAAGCTTTTTTTAAAGGGCTGAGTAGTTCAGTGACAAAATTTAGGTAATGTCTGATCTTTCTCTGATTAATGTTGCCTCTTGGTGTCTGCTTTTCTAAAATATACGGTGGCTATTTAGTGCGAGCTACTTTATGGACAAACAGCCATAGCATAAATTAAATCTTGAATTTCCGAAGGGACATGACTATATTAACAAAGTCCAAATACCGGGTGGCCTATATGTAACTGACTGGTTTGTATGTTGCATATTTCTGAAATGAAATAAAATACATCCATTTATTTATCTTAATCTCTTATCGAAACTTAGAAGTTATATATGAAAAACAATATCAGACAAATGTCCGGCTCAAGAAGCCGCGCAAACCTGAGGCCTCTTGATTACATTTTACATCACTTTTTGGTAGGTTTCGAAAGGAATATTTTCAATAGCTTCCGTAATATTGTTCTTCAGCTGCTCTACAGTATTTGGTTTCTTCGCATAAACCCTATTTTTCAAACATCCCCGTAAAAAAAGTCAGGAGGCGTTACATCCGGTAATCTTGGTGGCCAGTTGACATCACCAAATCGAGAAAATAAACGTCCCGGAAATATTGTTCGTAAAAGATTCATTGTTTCCCTAGTTGTGTGACGAACTGCTCCGTCCTGCGGGAACCACATGTTTGGCAGGTTAAATTGTTAGATTTGAGGACCCAGAAAGTTTTACACCATATCGCGGTAGCGTTAAATAAAGCGCTTATAGTAATGATACCGCACAAAGCTCAGCCCTCTTGATTAGGTTTTCGGTCATATGGTGGTTTGGTTTGCGAGGAGTATTTTGATTCGCCTCTCGAATGTTGCTGTTCTATTGGTTAAAAAGCGCATTCTGAATCTCAATATACGAGGGTGAATTAAATATGAACCGGACTTTGGTTTTAGTAATGTTATTGGTACAGTAAATACAGGTTTATTTACATCTTCTTTTTTTACATAATCTCCTCTCTTTTGAAGCATTTTTTCCATCGGACCGGAAGTTAAGAGGCCCAAACATGTGATCAATGCAGCTGTGTGTGGCCGAACGTTGTCACGGGGCAGAATGGCACTTCGAAGAGGCAGGTCTCTCCTTTTTCGTCGATAGGCCAGTTTCACTTCTTTAAGCAGTTGGCAGTAGTAAGCAGAATTAAGTGTATGGCGATCGTGAAGAAAATCAACTAGCAATACACCTCTGGAATTCCAAAATACCGTTGCAGAAAGACTGGTGTTGAGTTTTTGCTGTGCTGCCGCCCCCAGGCTTTCGCCACTCCATGGAACATTTTTTGCGAGTCGTATACTTGTGTCCTTGAAACTGTCTTATCGCCAAACTGTGCTGATAATCGACGCAAAATTTCGGTAGGTTTTACGGCCTCCCGCGACAAAAACTTCATGATAATGACATCCCCAACCAACATACGAGTATATCAACACGTCGCCCCACTCTATTCACCTATGGCGCGTAAAACAGAAAAGTTCGGTTCATATTTGATTCACCCTCGTATACCAGAAAATATAGTTTGCTGCATGGTATCATATCTAGTTGTAGAAATTTTAGCCAACCAGGGTAGTATTCTGGAGGTGCCTATATATGATATTACTGAAACAACTTCAAAGTATTTTCAAAAGATTTATTATCCAATGGCACCTAAGAATCCATCAATAATAAAATTTGCATTACTTTTTTCACGACCTAACCTAACACTTTCGCGTTTTACATAAGGTTAATCAACAAAAATCCAGGATACTTATAATCAGTCTTTACAAAATTATTTACTAGTCCAGCTATCAGCTTTGCCAAGTCATACTGCAGCTGACGAATCTTCCTTGAAGCAATACCTGGAAACAACATTGTAACAGTAAATGCGAATACTGCGCACCTATGAAAGCTTTCCGAGTCATAAATTTTCCACCGTTGTGCCGTCGGAATCTCATCAACATCTGGGCAACCAGTAGAACAGTTATTAATTTTGAGACATGCGTTTTTCAGGAGTATCTTTTTTAAATGTTAAGCGTAGTCACCAGTCATCAAAAATATCGGTCAAACACGATTTCGTCTTTATCCTACAGGGTCCCGGCTTGATGATGGGCCTTAAATACTCAAAAACTAAACGAAATTGAAGAAAACCTATGCATTCTCTTTAACTAACCTCAGCGGCAAAGTAGGCCACCGTTTCGCTCTGGTCTGAGGTTCCTTTAGGCCCGTATCGTCAGTCGTCCCTACAATTGTAGGGCGCCTTTATGGCCTCCTTGATTGTCATAATTTTCTACTTCTCCGTGTCAGAACTCTATTTTGAGGTTATGTCACGAACATCTATTTGCATCAAATTGTGCTTGCTTTTGAGTTATATCATGTTTGATCAGCCTGAAATTTCCTACAATTTTAAAAGAAAACATATCTTCACAATAGGAGAGCGCTGACGCTGACACGGGACAAGTGTGATCTAGAAATTTTTGAAGGAGAGAAAAGTGTATGACAATCAAGGAGGCCATAAACGCGCCCTAAAATTGTAGGGACGACTGACGATACGGGCTTTAGCCACATGTCCCGAAATGCCTGTGCGCCCAGAAATATGGTTCCCATAGATACGGCAAAACACCAGTAGCGTAGATTGCTCCTGGAGGACCCCATATCAAAATTTGTCGGATGCCAAACCCAATTGTGGCGAATCCCAAACATAGGGCAACATTTGAGATTCTTATCGAAAGAACCAAAAACGTTTGAAAGCAAGCGAACTTGAGTTCTTGGGAATTGCAATGACATTTTAATTCCTGCTGATTAATTTCAGAAAGCTTTTTTATTCAATTATCGATTATTGTAAACGATTCTGGTGCTCCGAGATTTTCTGCCTCTAAAGACAGTACCAAGTCTGATAGTCACAGTTTTTCAATCAATTTCAATTTCGAAAAGCTCCTTTCAGTTGTTGCGGTTGGTATTTGGAGGGTCAAAAATATGAAGCATCTAAGGATTTGGAACTTAGAATCTTATAATTTGGTGTCCGGCCTAGAAAGTTGCGCAACATTGTGGATAACACTTTACGCATTTTTCACTCACAAGTCGGGGCCCCTGTAAGCTGGGGCCCTTTATTATTGATACGAGAGCTGATACGGCGTCTCCTACGCCTCTGAAAGACACGGCAACACCGCTGCGCGGCTGCCCACCCACTCTCGATTTCCTCTGGCCCGGCTCATTCTTGGCTCAGCAGCCAATCTGGAGCTTATCATTTTCAACAAGTACAAGATTTGTTCCAAACTAGGTTTTTGCATGCCAAAGTTACTCCACCGGTGGATATTCATTGTTAGTTGAGAGAGGTATACGAGCCCCTTCCTACTTCAGTTGGCCCAACTATTGAAATCTTATTTTTTTTCTTATCAAACACAAATAATAAAAATGTAGCAGGGTGTTATAGGTTTACAATATTAACAATGAATATTTTGATAATATATAGTAGAAAACACTAACTTTATCACTCCCTAATCAAATTTGCAGCATAAAAATAACACATGTTGCAATTACAGCATATCAACCTATTTTCATTTCAATGCAAAATAAGTCTATAACGCATAGGTGGCTGTGAAAAATAAAAGCCATGACAATTGTTTTTATTTATCACAGCTGTCAGAATACGTTTAAAATAGTTTTGGGTAGTTAAGGTTTTCAAAATGGGTGGAGGAAAGGTTATTAGTGAGAAAATTCGGTTACTGATAATTAAATTTTTCAATTCTGGGAAATCAAACTCAGAAATTGCAACTTTGTTTGACTTATCGCGGTACAGTGTGAGAAATATTGTTAGAAGATATAACGTAACTGGTTCAGTTAATATTAAGCCACGATATGTGAAAAAAAGTAATATCACAAATGCCGACCGAAGAGCATTAAGAAGAATAATCGTGAAAAACAGGCGTGCCAATTATTTACAATTAAGTGCTCTGTGGAGTGACGCTGTCACAATCTGGGATTTAGCACTTTCAAGGTAAGTTTTTTATAAAAAAAGTGAAGTAAAAACCCTAAAGTTGCACAACATGTTGATAGGCCAAAGAAAAGCCACTATTAACTCCACTGCAAAAGAAAAATCGGCTTAGATGGGCTAAAGAACATAGACAATGGACACCTCAACAATGGTGTGCAATACAAAGGAGTGATGAGGCCCGATTCGAAGTTTGTGTTGGTGACAGTCGCAGTAGAGTTATTCGCATAAAAAATGAAGCATTCCATGTTGACTGTCTGAAGAGAAAAGTGAAATTTCCAGCATTCATTATGGTCTGGGGCAGTATGTCATCAAAAGGAGTAGGAAAACTTCATTTTATTGATGGAAATGTGGATACAAACAAATATTTGGCAATTTTAGAAGAATCGCTTTTACCAGTGATGGAAGAATGTTTGACATCCGGCCAAGATTTTGTGTTTCAGCAAGATGGTGCAGCGTGCCATACCTCAAAAAAAGGCTATAACATGGATGGAAGAAAATAATGTAACCACTTCTGAAATGGGTTTCTAGCAGTCCAGATCTGTCACATATTGAAACTTTGTGGCACGAGACGAAAAAGGTTCTACGACAACATCCTGCTCGTACAATCACCGAACTGAGACAAAAGCTTCAAGAATATGGGATTGCTTTACATCAAATTTTTGCCAAAGCTGATGTTACCCAGTGGTAATCTTTCAATTGTTGCTTTGTTAACTTCGCGCATTTATTCTCACATTGTTTATTTGTTCAGATGTACTATTAGTTATAGGTCTGAGTGATTTCAAATATGTATTTTTTACGACTAGAGTGTATCTAAAATGTTTTTGAGAAAAAGAACAGGAGGGATCCCGGTCCGTGTGTAGCTCAGATTCCTGTTCCATTTCGCGTAAATACTATGAATGGGCACAGAATATGATACTTACCTCTCAAGGATCTCAATAACACCTATACGGTTTCTTGAAGTATGTGTTGTAAATATTGTCCCAGAAACGGATATACTCTCCTCGATAATTTTGTTTTACTGTGTAGTTTTTATTAGCAACATATAGATAGTTAACTTCGTTGGGTGCTTTAACTGGAGGCCACAATATATTTTGTAATTCAGCATCCCTTTGAGGTGTTGGATTCCTATAACGTACACATACAAAATTTGATTTTTCATCAAAAGTAAACAGTAAAGGTGTTCACCATCATGGAGTTTGTGAGAAACGAGAAGTTACTAAATCTTAATATTTATTATTTCGGAATGATTTAGAGCAAACAAACACTGAATTCCAATTATTGGTAAATGTTTTTCGCTTCGGTGACATGTTCGTCCTTATTCTGAAGTCCTTCATAAAAGAAATGATAAACAAACATCTAAGGGAAATATACAGGGTGCGGCAGAGGGGATGGACGGTTTTAAAAAAATCATAAAATAGTTAATTTTTACTCGAAAACAAACTTATTGATGGAATCAGGTTCACAAGGAAATAGCATTTGAGACAGTCAAGTGTGAAAAATCACATCAGGCATGTGATGGCCGAAATCGTTGATGCTCTCAACTTGGGCGACTTCCACGCGAATTTCGCCCTTCAATTCGTCCAGAGTTCGGGGCTTGTTTCGCGTATACTCTAGCCTTGAGGTGTCCCCATAAGAAAAAATCGCATATGGATAAATCTATAAAGCTGCATAGCGTGCATAATCTCCGGGCTGTAACTGTTGCACAATGGCCAATTTGTAGGTGTGAAAGCAGAGATCCATATGCAAAATTCGCCTTACCGAACGATCACTAAGGCGAAGTGCAGCAGCATGTTTCCGGGCAGATCGAGTCGGACTGCGAAGAAAGACCTGTCGAACGCGTTCAACATTTTCAGGAGTTCGAACTATTCGCGGCGCTCCTCTTGGTCTTCTGTTGATCAGTTCACCACGCCTGCGAAGTGATTCAACCCAACGAAGGATGGTGTTTCGAGAGGGAACATCTCTATTCCGATGAGAAGTGGCGACGAAACTCACGCTGTACGACGATGACTGACTCATTATTTCGGACGAAACAATCATAGGCGAAAACGCGGTGCTCCACCGTCTAAGGCTCCATAGCGACAACTGGTAAAATAATGCTAGGATCTCACGAGTCAAACGGCACCTTCCCCATCTCTCTCGTAGACGGAGGCGGAGAGTACTAACCCATCCCAAAAACGTCCGTCCTCCCTGCCGCACCCTGTACTATATTTTCATCTTGCAACGAGTTTATGACTACTGCCGAGTTTTACCTCTCGCCAAATCGGTTTTTGCTTGCTACGCCACTGGGCGAGGCAGTATTGTAATCGCGAAAAAGTTCAAAATGAGATATTATGTTTTTTGGATTTTATATAACCTGCATATCACGAGAAACCATGTCCACTCATTTCCGTCGGTATGTCTATCTGTCCGCTAATCCTTGCCCCCTCGGTAACTTGAGAAGTACCGCTAGGATTTTCATGAAATTTTCACATACGTTTACTACTATGTTAAGAACGGAAAAGCTCGGTCCAGTGGCGGCAGAGTGGAGGGTGAAAAACGAAAAGTTTAAAAATCGCTCAAATTCTGTTTATTTTGCGATTCAGAGGGTCATTTTCGGAAACATTTTTGTGGGGGCTGAAATTCGGGGGTTGTGGGTTGTAGTGGGTGGGAAAGTGTATATGAAAATTTAGTATATTTAGTAAATCTTAGTATACTTATGCGCTCCCAACACTGGTAACTCTATGCACCTATTAACCATATTTCTTACATCATAGGTTTCCACGGACATTTGCGTTTAAATCTTGAATAATAGAGAAATGTTTTCGGTCCTCCTACTCTTGGTATCTAAGTTCACCGCCCGGCGAACCGAACATATACATACAGGGTGGCGCATCGAAAACGAAACAGACGCATTTACTGGCAGCTCAGTTTTTTTCTTGGAACAACGCTCAGACCCGTCGATTTTGTTTTCGAGGGAGACACAAGTTTGGCAAAAATCACGTTAGCACGTGCTTAAATAAAACTAATACATCATCATTAGTGGAGATCAATACATTTGGCAGCAAAGTAATTTAAAAATAAAGAATGAACTGACCCGTTAGGCAATTAAATGTTGAAAATGGCCACCATGACTCTCCATGCAATAATAAAGATTTTGCTCAAAACGTTGCCGCACTTTTTGCAATATTTGAGGAGTAATTTGAATGCACTCATTCACAATTCTTTGTCGCAGGTCTTCTAATGATGTTGGCTGAGTAGCATAGATTTTGCTTTTTAAATGACCCCACATGAAGAAATCCAAATGTGATAAATCTGGCGATCTTGGCACTTCTTCTACCAATCCATCGATCTGGAAACGTCTGATCTAAATATTGTCGAACACGTAATGCGTAATGTGGTGGGGCACCATCCTGTTGGAACATCAACCTATTCGCAATGTACCGCCGATCATTCTGATTTTCAATTATGGCTGTTAATGGAGGATCTATGGCGTCTTCCAGTAATTCCAAATACATTTCACCGGTCAAATTTCCAGGTAAGGAAAAAGGACCAACTAAATGATCGCCAAAAATACCAGCCCAAACATTTAATTCTTGTGGCTGCTGTGTATGAACCTCATGATAAATTCTGGGATTAGAATCGGACCAATATCGGCAGTTATGACGATTTACTACGCTATTTAAGAAAAAGGAACATTGGTCGGAAAAGCAAGTGTTGAATAGAAAATGTTCATCGCTTATAATTCGTTCACTCATAAATATCTTCACAAAATTGTAATCGCCGATCAAAATCGTCTTAATTAAGTTCTTGTACCAGGTAAATTTTATACGGATGAAAATTATGGGCCTTTAGAATCCGTTGGACAGTACGTCGACTAACACCACACACAGTCTCCAATTTGCGGGTACTTAACGTAGGATCAACATAAACTTGCCCTAAAACCCCCACTTCTATTGCCTCGTTCCTTATGGGATTTTCAATGTTGCGTTTTTTATTGGCGACTGACCCAAATTCCCGAAATTTAGCTACAACTTCTAGAACATATTTTCGATGCACGTTACTGTTCTCATGTCGCTCATTAAATATTTCTGCTGTTCTAGTAGCCCACTGATTATTTCCGAAAAATATTTCGATAATTTCAACTCTTTCTGCTGTGGAATATACCATGGTTAATTTATGTAATAAAGCGTTACAAGTTATTTTAGCAACAAAAGTTGGTCAAATCAATCGCAAACTATGTACTAAATTCCTATTTAAAGTAAGTACGAGATGTTTCCTTATCTTTCTTCAAGAAATAACTTTTTTGCCACAAAAAAAAAAACGCTCCAATAGCTATTTTCAACAACAAAATGATAAACAAACTATGGGCGTAGTGAAGAAAAGCATTTACTTATTAAGTAAATTCATTTAATGAAATTTCTTTTGAAAGTAGTACAAACTAATCTGATGTACCTATTAATGTCTACTTTAAGCTTTAAGTCAATAAATCTTCAAAACTACTGAACTGAAGCTCATGTATTTTACATCATTATATAGGGAATTGAAAGACCTTTAAAATAAGGTATCACTCGATCCCTCTTTCCAAATAAGATTTTAGGGTTGGTGTCACCCCCGCCGAGGGGGCTGCACGTCTTAACGTGATTTTTTGCCAAACTTGTGTCCCCCTCGAAAACAAAATCGACGGGTCTGGGCGTTTTTCCAAAAAAAAAAACTGAGCTGCCAGTAAATGCGTCTGTTTCGTTTTCGATGCGCCACCCTGTATACAGAAACCATGCACGAAATTAACAACTTGCAGCAGCGATGCCGCGTAGATGTGGAAAGGGACAACGTTGCCAAATGGACGGTAACTACCAGTAGTGCCAGAAAAGCATGTTCGTAACTGACTTGACCCCATTATTTTAGTACCCGACACGAGTTCCGCTGACTATATTAGTATCTTCAGGGGAAGATTTAGTCAATTCTAATCAGTTTTAATCTCCCCTTGAAGATGCTAACATAGCGGAACACGTATTAGGTTAAAACATTTGGTTTGGCCAGTGGTGAGTGTTAATTATTTATAAGCGATTTAATGTAAACAAACGATACACTTTAACAGCGTGCCAGATAGTGATTTTATATTCTAGAGTTGTAAATGAGATACCACATGACCCCTCATTGCTTCAAAAAATGTCCCAAAATTGATGGAGGTTTGAAAATCATTGTGTGTGTAACTTAACCAATATATAGATAAATTAAGAGTTTGTCAATAGAGACCACATGCCCCCAGCGTGAAAAATTGTTATGACAAGTTTCTTACCTAAATAATGCGAAATTCATTAAAAACCTCCTCATTCTGGCACAATGCCTGATTTCGGAATCCTTTATTTCAACATTTACTTTTGGCACACCTTTGGGAAAGAAGTAGCAGCCCAGGTCTTCAGAATGTCCAGCACCTATAAATTGACATAGTTTGTGTAATTATTCATCTGCGGTTGTGTCTTTGATTTATAATCTAAGGGGGATTGTTATCAGATGGCATGATGGGAAAATATCTTGGTAAAATTTCCAAAGCCGGGGATTTGTAAATATAGTCGAGACAAATAAATATTACGAATTAAAAGATATTTTTATTATTAAAATTAACGTTATCACAACAAAATATTTGTTGGCAAGTTATGAGATTAGGGATTAAACATATTAGATCAAAATACGAGGCAACTAAAACATACTTATTTTTGTATTTTGCATTTGAGTCAGCAGATTCCACCAATTTGATGCCATTAAAATAATCAAGAAAGTTTTAAAATTCAAACAATTTTCATCAAAGTTTCATCTTAGTAATAGTTCGGTTTTAATTAAATATATCTGATGATAGCCTTGCCTGGTCCAAGCGGTATTTGGTTTCTGTATTACCAATAACAAAAAAAAAGTTAAGCTACACTATATTTAAAAATGCATTTATCTTAAAATTACCTTTGATTTGTGCATCAAAATAATATCCTTCGTTGACGTAGAATGCTTTTACAGTTGGTATGACGTAGTCATATACGTAAAAATATACGTTGGTGAACTTCGAAAGCAGCTTCGCCGTTTTTGTTAAAGGCCTCATGAACAATAAGTCTGAAAGATACTAAGAAAGATTACTCATCAGTAACGCATTACACTCAATATTTAGGTTACATGGATACATCTCAATAAAACAAAGTGATCCAGTTTGACGTATCAATGAGAAATACTCAAAGGTAAACCTTTTCGACTTCTGTCTGTCTCTGTAACAGTAGTTAGTGACCATAGAGTGCTACCAACGAACCAAAAATCGGGTATGTTAAGTTTGGAAGAAATTTTTAGCATTGCTACTGCGGCACATTCTAACAGGAACTTAAAAAAGTAGATCAAGCAATGAAAATATTTGTGTTGTGTCTTTCACAGCTATTCTCCCTAAGGGATCATCAGGAAAAAGTATTATTCATTACAACATGTACCTAATACGAGAAAGCACTTTTTTGAAAATCATAAGACATCTGGATCTTTAAGATTTGGCCGACCCAGGGAAAATTACCTCCTCGTGCTCTTCAAAAAGGTTGCGAAGCTCGCACATTCCCACGATACATTCTGTAAAACATGCATTTTGCTTTTCAAAGAATTTTGGAAGCACATAGTTGTTAAATAGTTGGTGTCACATGACCACAGGGGCTGAGAGTACAGAGTAACCAGAGACGAAAGCCTGTCGGAAATAGGGTAGGATTCCCGAGAGCTTATATGAAAGCAATATTGTAAATCATAGAACTTCTGATAGGATCCGCACTATTTGGCAGCCCCAAGGAAAATTTGCCCCCTCCCACTGTTCAAAAAGCTTTGCTGGCTCACACATTTCCACGATTCTGTCGGAGCAGTTTATTGCATTCCAAGGAATTTTGCTTCTACTGTCCCTCCTGGGAAACATCTCTGCTGGCGACAATGGTAATTTGGTAGGATAATTGTTAGATAGTTGGTGACACCAAGATCAAAGGACTGCCCTTCACTACTGCATCTGTATGAATGACATTCTTGGGCGCCCGCAGCAATTTTTCTTCCCTTTTAAGAGAACACTTTTTGAGGAATTGTACAGGTCCCCAAAATTTTTTGAAGAGAGGGGGTAGGAAAATTTTTCTTAGTCCTGAAAACACCTAAGACTGTACACGAAATCATGCTTAATATAAAATTTAATTTTTAAGCAGGATTTTTTGGAAGAAAGTTACTACAAAAAGCATCAGTCATTGAAATATCTTAACAAAATTGAAAGCATTATTTTACATTTCAATGACTAGTACTATTTACCTCTATTAATCGCATTTTGGGTGCTGAGGATGCAAAGTCGTTACCAAAATACTGCTTCTTGATCATGTTACCTACAATAGGTTTCTGCCACTCATATATAGTGTCATGTCTTGTTATTAGCATAGCAGGACTCAAATCGTATATCAACAATATGAACCTAAGTGAGTCGATAACTAAAACAAAAATAATAATGTTATTAATTTGATACAATATTTATGTAAATGTAATTGCAAAAGCCTATAATAAAGACCCTTTTATCCCAAAATTTCAGAAAAAAGCAGCGTACGGCATTGTACTCATCTGATTCAGACGTTTGCGAGGATCTCATTGTACAGATAAATAACACAGTGACGTATGCTGAATTACGCTACTCTTTATTCTAGTTTGGTAGTTGACTATAGTCGATAGCTTACCCCCTGCGAAAAATAGTGCCTCTAAGCCAGTACTACCCATCAATACAGGTACTTTATTAAAGTTTCCATTTTCTAGAGAATTATATGTTATATCTCTAATAAACGCTTCCTTGTGATCAACTTCAATTGTAGGTGTGAATGTTACTCCATCCATGAGTGTTGAAGGTACACGCTGGAAACATTATACAGCTTATTTTCAAGTTAGCAAGATGAGATTCGGAGTAATAAAATTGTTGCATGCGGCTCGCGTGATACCTCATTTTGAAGCTTCTTATAATAACCACATAATAAAAAGTCACCACACCATAAACTGACGAATTGACAGGCTGTAAAGCTAAGCGTATTTGCAGATTGAGTTATTAAGACTGAGTCAGTTAACAATCAATCATTAAAGCTCTATAATATATCACATCAATCTTCTTCTCTTGGAAGGATCTATCCAAATATGTAACTAATGGATTATGGAATTTGTCAATTCTTCTTAATGAATGATTCATATGTTATTGCACACTTACATAGACACTCTCCTAGATATAAAGTTTTGATGATTGGTCGTTGAGTTATGAGCGACTTAATAGACAAAAACGTTCAACTTTGACCGGCTGCCATTCCGCCATTTTGTAAGATCGCAATTTTATATTCCACGGGTATAAAGTACCAATGAGAATCTCCAAAATGAGGCATTACACAACCACCACATCCGTTACAAAAAATGTTACAACATGACGCCCCACCGCCATCTTGTAATTTTCAATTGTCACTTTTACTTTAGAATATAGTAGTTATTCCTAAGTCCATTTTACCTTCCCAAACTAACTAACATATATGTAGATAACAGTTAAACGCAAAACATGACTGTAAAGAATTGATACATTGTGTTAATTTTCTTAAGAGTTAACTTACAGCCTAGTACAAAGTATTCATTCAAATGCAAAATACTCACAACGAAAATAACCTTCAAGTTAGCTCCTTGCAATCTTTCAGTGGGCATTCGTCTCAATGTGTCTACAAATTCAGTAGTGTTATCATTTTGAATTCCTAACGCTGCGGCCACGTCATCTGCGATATCCTTGGGCCTAAAAACATCCAGTCAAATTATATGTTTTTGTACGGAAGCGTGACAAAACAGGGACTTAATACCAGAGTACCATGAGAGCGTTAAAGAAGTTAAATAAATTTTGTTGATCCCAGTTATGATCATTAATCTTCAATTTACAGACAAAAAAAAAGAGTATACTGAGAAGCAGAAGCCTATCAGGTCTGAGTGGCAAGCATACAATGCGGTGACATAGTGAAGAAGAGTCTAGAAAAGTGAATTCTGTTGACATCTTTTCAAAGGAAATAGAATACCTAATAAAAATTGTTTTATTAGAATAAACTTTTATACAGTCAGACATAGGTGCAAGGAAGTTTTGACTAAATTTTGAAGTGGTAACATTTGCATGATTTCCCTAATAATGTGTCGTGCCCCTGATATCCTATTCATACATCCAGTTGACGAGGCATGCATGAAAAATGAAAATAACAGCTGGAACTGTATGCGAGTTCGCATGCCAGCTGGGTCACCACTGGGGCTACTAGATGCCGCCGATACTGACGCTATAGTAGATACTGTCATACGCCACTGAAAAAGCTAGTGATACAGCTTTCGTTAATTTACCATGACCAAGCCTACACCATGCTGGATAGATGTCTGTGGATGGGAGAACGAAAGCTATAGGGTCAATTGGTGCAAAAACGAGACGATTTTTAAATCTTTTAATTTTTTGTCAACAAGAAACCGGACTTTAAGGCTTTGTTATATTGCCCTGTATACAGAAAGCCATGTTAAAAAAAGGTTCATAATATTCATAATGAAGGGCGTTTTTGTTAAAAAACCGTGTCTCGTTTTTAACCGCTATTTAGGCTAAAAATGAGACAGTGAGAGGTTAAAAACAAGACACTGTATTTTCTGGCTTTTTAGCCATTTTACATCAGTCTGGCAAAATATGAGACCCTGGGGAATAAAAACGAGACACACTGCAAGGGTTTTAAAGCATTTAGTAAGTCAAATAACATAGTTAGGTGTTAAATTATGACAACGTTCTTAAAGAAAACTCACATAATTAAATACAAAACCATGTTTATTAAACTAAAAAGAAAACAAATCCAAAAACAAGTTAAATAAACCATACCTAATTCAAAAAAGGGGTAAAACAAGTTTTTAAAAGGATTTTAAGAGCTAAAGTAGAAAACTTATTATTCTAACGTATTTTGTACTACATATTATTGAACGACGTATTTTTCAAAGTCGATAGGAGACCAATGTTGCTGAGAGATGCGATAGGTCTTACTTTCTATTTCTGGCTGGAGAAGTTTCATTTCTATGTCACTTTTGTCGATGAAGTACTTTTCCTCAATGACTGGAAAAATAAATTTAAATCCTTTGCGCCTCAGATATTTTACTTCTACATCGCTCTCAAAAAGTTTAAGGATTTGTGCCACGTAGAAAACTTGCGTTTTTTGCGTTTTTTTGAGTTAGTCTATTGCGCTTTTAAAAATGCTTAAACCAATCTTTCCCGGGCTTTCCTTCCTTAAACTGGGTAGTACGGTGGTTTTCTTGTACATAAGTTTGAACTATTGCTTGTATCTCTGGTTTAGTGAGAGCAAACCCCCATTTTGCCATAATTTTTATCTTATCACTTAAGTCTACTTCCATTTCTTTGGTTAGAGAAGTTTTTCTTCCCTGTTTACCAAGTGAACGAGTACGTCTTCTCGAAAGAGCAGATTTGTCAATTTTAAACTGTTTAGCTGCATTTCTAAGAGATAAAGTGCCATTATCTATTAGTTTTAGGGCTGTTTCCATGTTCTTTTTGTCGTAGGGGCGCTTTTTGGGAACGTAAACCTTCGGCATTATTATCAAAGGAATAAAAGCTGTCTTGTTTTTTACCTGGCAGGTGTCTTGTTTTTAAACTTTGTGGTGTCTCGTTTTTGCACCCGTTATTGACGACGTGCCTGCTTACCAACAAATAAAAATAAACTAAATTCGATATGGAATATCATAGCCGCATTTGTTATTTTGAAAACGCGATACTTGCCGAGTCTCTACGTATCGATCACGTGCAGCGGAACAACAGGAAAAGTTTGTAAATACAATTTAAAAGATTTTTTAAGGAAAATGCACAATCAGATGAGATTATATGTATTTACGTTTATTTATTATTCATTACATATTTCAATTGTATATATGTGGAAGTAGTTTGTAACGTATTTTTTACAATGTTATTGTTTTTTTGCATTGGGAAAAATGGAATGTCTTGTTTTTGACCGAAATTTCGGCTGTCTCATTTTTGCACCACTTGACCCTACTACCTACTAATTTGTTCAGAGACGAGTAGATTGTCTCTACTCTAGCGCCAGAATCAGCGGCAATGAAGCGGCCACAAAGGTGACACAGCTTGCTGTTTTCACTTTTGCAGTGGTCGATACTTTGTGTGGTGTTATTCCAATATACTTTACCCTCTGAATAGAGTAGAGTTGCTCAGTTTTCGCTCGTCGACCGTGCTTACACCATGCTGAAAAGTTACCAAGTAAAACGTAACAGCTGTCCAGGGTTGGCCGTCTGTGGTCGGACGAACGGAAGCTATATCACTAATTTTTACTTGGTGCTCTATTTTCTTTGTCACTAAGTATAATAGTGACCGTCACCATTTTATATCAGTCGTACCTGCGTTGATTGCTCCACTCGGCTAGTGTGTCTCCACTAAGCGGTACCGCGGCATGGAATAGCCCCCTACTTCTTGGAGAGACAACATGATGCATGACACTAGTAGCACCCGCGCTCTGCCCCATGATTATGACATTCTTAGGATTGCCGCCAAAATACCGGATGTTGGATTTTATCCAAAGAAGCACTAAGTGTTGGTCCTTCAAGCCATAATTGCCTGGCGATGCTAGGTCTTCAGTACTCAAAAAACCTGCACAACATGAAAACGTATTGTGATTTTGAATTTGAATGAGCTATTGTTGCCTTTCTGATTCACTGATTATTCTTCTTTGAGTCAATATTATCAGCCAACCGTAAGGTGAATCAGCAAGTTGTTTGAGATCATCGCTTATGAAACGGTTTACTGCTCGGTCAGGGGTGCAGTCTCTATTAATCAGCATGGGTTTATGAGAGGCAGATCTACGATCACCAACTTGGATCTAATTACTCAGTACATTTCTGAAGTACTGGACGGTCAGGGACAAGTTGATGTCATCTACACAGATATTCAGAAGGCGTTTGATCAAGTTGACCATTATGCACTTCTGGATAAGCTTAAAACAGTGGGTATGTCTGATGCAATGCTGTCGCTCATGAATTCATATTTGAGGGATAGAAGGTTATTTGTCGAATATGGTGGTCATAGGTCGAGTTACTATCGGGCCACGTCCAGGGTACCTCAAGGGTCAAATCTAGGTCCATTATTGTTTTTGATATTTATTAATGACTTGTCTTTTGAACTGAAGTATTTCCATTTGTTTTTCGCTGATGACCTTTAAATCTGCACGTTAGTCAAGACAGTCGAGGATTGCGTCATGTTGCAAGATGACTTAGTTCTAATTTCGTCATGGTGTTCACGAAACTGTCTCAGTCTGAATGTTTCGAAATGTAAAGTTATGACTTATACAAGAAAGGTTAACTATTTAATTTATGATAATTATAACATCAATGGTCAGGTTATAGACAGATGCACCTCTTATAGAGACCTTGGAGTCACTTTTGATACCAAGCTAACGTTTACTGAGCATTATACTCAATATCTCGTCGGCTGTCACTCGACTACTTGGTTTCTGTATCAGAAACTGGAAGGGTTTCTCCAATGTTGATACATTAATGACTTTATTTTTTACTTTTGTCAGGAGCAAGTTGGAGTATGCGACTCTGATCTGGTCTCCTATATACCAAAATTCTGTCATGATCCTTGAGGCCATTCAACGTAAAGCTTTAAAGTATTTTCACCTTAAATGCACAGTTTCTTATCCAGAAAGAGGTTGTGACCATAGTGCCCTATTAGAGTTTTTCAATTTGGATTCACTGTCAACAAGACGAAACATATTTGCTTTGTCGTTTTTGTATTATAAAATTGACTGTCAAAATTTACTTGGAAAAATATGTTTCCGCGTTCCGAGGCTAGGGAGTCGACAACAAACGGCATTCTATTGTCAAGCTGGCCGTACAAATGTTATGACAAAATCGCCAATTAATCTCATGTGCTGCGTCATGAACAGTGTTATTGAATCGTGTGATTTTTACAGTGACAGTTGTGCATCGATTATTAACTGCTATAGATCATCCAATCTTATTTAGAATGTGTGATACTATAGATTTAAGTCCAAGAACCATATCTCTTTAATTGTTATTTTTATCAGCATTGCCTGTAATTGGATTTCACCTGTTGGAAATAAATAAATAAATAAATAAATAAGAGAGGCAAACAAGAATACTTTAGAGATAATTTAATTCTCCCCATTGGGATCTTGGAACGGTAAGAGATACAAAGTCGGTTAAATAAGGGTAAATCGCATTTAGGTTAAAATGGCACTTGAATAGTATAACCGTAGACAAAAATACCGAATTTTACAAAAGTTGTTTTTATTTTCTCCTGATTTCGTCTCTTCTCCTCAATCATCAACCTTATTTTTTCTTACCGACTCCATGCTGGATCTTTGCATAGGTGAATAGAGTTTTTAATTCTGATATCTAAAATTTATTATATATAATATTGTAAAGACTATAATTATTAAATGAGAACAGTAGGCTACCAGATAGTCATGTTTCATAACATCACCATCCAAGCATATGCCTTTACTTTTTATGAATTAGTGCACATCAAAATGTGAATTGGTATCATAAAACATCAAATATCTAAAAAGTAATAATCTCATATTTGCTTTTAACTCATAGAAATAAAGCAAGGTAATTTTTCCATGTTACTTAAGGGTAATGGCAAACATTGAAAACGGTATAATTTTCAGAAGTTGTTAGACATAATTTGGAATATAAAAGTCCGTGATGTTACATGTTGCTGAGTAGGTTTCGTATCCGTCATATCTAAACCGATGCACACATCTTGTATTTGAGTACTATCATCTACACACTTCTGAGAAACTATTTTAATTGATAACGTACTCGAATAAGCATATGATGAGCCAAGGACAACTACTGTGAAAATATTAATTTCTCTGACCTAACTTAGAAGTTTAGCAATGCAACAACATTTTCGGAATCAGATTTTAAAACCCTGTTCATCTATGCAAACATTCAATATGGCGTCCACAAGTAAAAATGAAGCAGATGATGAAAAGCGAGAGACACAGTGTCAAAATTCTAATTATGTCACTTCATAGAGGAGAAAAGCTGGCAATGTTTATGGACAATTTATATTGAAATCCTAATTTCAATAAAGTCAGTAAGAAACAAAAACGATTTTGGAAAAATTCAGTTCTTTGATCACCCGATATACTCTGAATTGAGAAACCTTCCAAGTGTCATCTTCTTAGTTACATAAATACGCAACTTTGCCCCAATTCAACTGTCTTCATATCTGTTATCGCTTTCGAGATCACAATGCAATGCTGAGAGCTGCATTTGGAAGACTTACCAAACAATCCTAGTCTATAGTTGGCAGTTACAAGAATAAAATTCTCTTCCATGAAGTAACCTGCCCCGTACAGGTCAGAAGATGATGTCCCTTCTATGAATGCTCCACCATATATGAAAAAGAATATTGGTAAGATTTCTTGTTTCCCCTTTAACTTCCCCTGAAATACATTTGTTTATCGCTATAGAGCAAGAATAATCTAATCTTATTAGCAAATTCCCCGAAATAATTGTAAACTTAGGTTTTATTGATGCAAGCTTTCGAGAGGGTATTTGAAATACGGATGCATAAAATGAGTACACCAATTTTTGTGGAACAACTTTTTATTCAAGAACAAAGTACGAGAAAACGTGTTTTTTGGGATTCAATCAAAAGTGTTGACAGGAACAAAGTAAGTCTTCAAATAAGATTTTTAGCTATTTCCAAGACCTATAATACAAAATGAGACCACTCATAAAAAGATCCGATTAATAGCAAAAAAGTTACACAACAAATTCGAGTCGCTTGGTCAAGTTTTTGAGAATTGTTTATCCCAAAGCATACAAAGTTTGTTCAACGCGCGTTTTATAGCAAAATACACGAGCTTACCAGGCCGAAATGAATCATGAACCATTTCAAAACATGAATGTTATGTTTAAGCGAAAAACGAAGGCTTATGTTTTTCCTTTTAAAGAAATTCGAACATTTCGTATTTGTGAGTAATTGAACAGATGCGCCACAATATCCGTTAAAAATACGTTATTATATACATTTTAAAACAATGTGGTTGTGTTTATCACCTTTTGTTGCGGAGAACATTTTTTTTTTCATTTCTTCATACTCCTATGTATACATATACTAAGTGACATATAAATCCGAACCCAGTTTAAATGGTTTTATTTTGATAAAATTTTGTATAAGTACTTAATGAAGCACAATAAGTAAATGATAAAAATTTCAAAATGATTGACCTTTAATAATGTGTGGATGCACCCTGATGTGCTACGCATTCTCCAACGCGCCTAGGAATGCTTCTGATCAGGTGGTCAATGTCCCCCTGTGGTATCTCATTCCAGGAAACCACCAACTCCTCTCGAAGTGCTTCTAGAGTCTGAGGAGGACGTTGCAAATTGAGCAATCTCCTACCCATCATATCCCACACGTGCTCAATTGGGGATAAGTCGGGAGATCTTGGTGGCCATAGTAACAATGTGACATCATTATGTTGAATGAAGTCTATTGTGACTCTTGCAACATGTGGTCGGGCATTATCTTGTTGGAAAGTTGGATCTGCCAGGGTGTCAAGATAGGGTAAAAGATGGGGTTCTAGAACTTCGTGGATATAACGCTGCGCGTTCATGTTACCTCTGATAAAGATTAAAGGTGACTTGGAACCATAAGCTATAGCACCCCAAACCATAACTCCAACAGTGTGATGAACATGTCTTTCAACAAAAAACTGTGGATTCCTCCTTTCACCACGTCGCCTTCTAACCCTAGCACGACCATCGTGCATGCCTAAACAAAATCGAGACTTGTCACTAAAGACAATACTGTTCCATTCCTGATCCCAGAGGGACCGCTGTCTGCACCACTCAAGGCTATTACGTCGGTGTTCTCGAGTTAAAGGGAAGACCCAGTGTGGCCGGTATGAAAACAAGCCAAAACTTCTCATTCGTCTTAAACACTTCGCATGCCAATAGGTCTTTCGTGTTCTGCAAATCATTCATTTGCAATGGACCTGGTAGTGGAGAAACGGTCCCTTAAGGCCAATAATCTTAGGCGGCGATCTTCACGGTCTGTTGTTCTACGGCGGCGTCCAGTGCCCCTTGCTCTTTGCGTACGGCCTTCTCGAAGCCATGCCTGACAACACCTAACCACAGTGTCTACACTTCCTTGCACTCTAACTGCAATTGCCCGAAAAGAGGGTCCAGCTTCCCGAAGTCCCACTATACGGCCCCTATCAAACTCACTAAGTTGACGAAATCGTACAGGTCTCCGTACTCTAGGCATCGTAACCGATCGCAAAGGATGTCAAGAACCAAAATCTGCCAACGTTGATTCTTTACTGCGGCTGAAATATTCATTTTTAGAGCGTTAGTGAATTAAAAAAAGGCAGTATAAAAACCGGAATGTACAACTGATAAGGTTGAAAATTTGTTCACTTGTTATTTACAGTAAGATAAATACATTCACCAACTTTTATTAAAATAAAACCATTTAAACTGGGTGTTCGGATTTATATGTCACTTAGTATATTTAGAGCTGAAATATTTGTACAATCACAGACTTTGTCAAATAAATAGGTCACGTAATCCAGTTTCGAAATATCATTCCCTGGACCTTTTTTCCAAAAGTTGTAATACAGTATATGTTTGTTTTCCAAATCTCGTACCACTAAAACGACTGCGTGTTCAAAGTGTTGGAAAATAAACCTGAGAAAGCGAAAAAACAGTAAGCAAATATCAGCCAATTGTAACGAACTGAAGGTCTGTAAAATTAGGCAGAATGCTCGGATTACTCCTTAATACATTATTTGAAGTTTCAGCATTGTATCTTGTATAGTTATCAAGATAATTTAAGATGTTTATAACAGATTTGATATGCCGTCAACGTTCGCTTGAAATTTGTCTGTGTCACGTATAGCGGTATGAAGATACAGTAAACCAAGAGACGTCGTGGTGTAGTGGAAGCAAAGGTTCGAATCCACAAACCTTCCTTTTTTCTTTTTTCGTTCCTGCGAACACTTTCGATTGAATCTCAAAAAACACGTTTTCTGGTTGTTTGTTGTTGTTCCCACACAAATTGGTATCCATTTTATGCGTCGATGTTTTGAATACCCCCTTGAATAACTTGCATCAATAAAACTAAACTTCTTAATGATTTTGCAAACCAGAGGTATTTTCGTCTAATATGATTAGATTAGATATTCTGTCTACTAAAGGTTGCAGAATAAATTGTATAAAGTTTCGATGATAAGTGTACTGAGGGATTATTCCATACGGATTGTCAATTTGACGCCTCTTTGACTAATTAAATAATCTCATGCTGAAAGAGAGTAGTATGATGCAACCGAATAGAAAGAAGGCTTAAAAGCAGAGAGCCTGTATCGATTCAGTCCGCTGTCAAAGCTTTCCTGATTGACATTCCAAGAGTAACTGATAGGATAGGCCGTTTACTAACTAAGAAACATCAAAACGATATGCAAACCAACAAAAACCATTGTAGAGTGTCGTATGTCAGTTAAGGTTAAAAGGGACCCTTTTTCATACTCAATAATTTACCGTATATCATGCACATGTGGAAGTGACTAAGTAGAAGATCAATAAATACCAGAATCAAGAAACATAAAGCCATCTGCTCCTGCGACATATTGATAAATCTGCCGTGGCAGAACACTCATTAACAAAAACAAGTTACCTAATACAGAGAAGCCATTAAAATCAAAAACATCCGGAAACTCCAACAAGGAAGCAGTTAAAATACACAAAAGTTGGTCGCCTATAATCAAAAATATGAGAACAACGCAATTTTAATAACGATACAATCCGAGCGCTAATGGCCGAGTAGTCAGTGGAAGCCACGGCCACCCGGGGTACTCATAATACGGAACCAGCCAAGGTAAGAGTCAGTGTCCTGTCAGTGTCAACCTAGACTTCAAGATTGCAGAGCTTCTGAAGTGCGAGTGCTTCTGAAGATCGCAACTCTTGTCGGCAAAACGTCAAGTGTTCAAGGTAGTAGACAACGGCCTAATAGAACAAAAATATTTGGTACTTCATTTGTTATCGTTGAAATTGTCTTCAAAAGTGCGCAAACGTCTTTGACAGACTGTTTAACTCAAAACTTCTTTTACTAAAAAAATTACTCTTAATTGGAACCAATAAAAAAAATTGCAAACGAGAGAAATAACCATGCTTCAGCACGGTTCAGATATATACTATTTAATTCTTTCTTTATAGATTTCTTATCATCTAAATAACATTTTTGTGGTGGTATACCAGTACATGAATGTACGAGTATAAAACTATATAAAAATATTTATTCTTACCACTGGTGTATATACGTTGAGGTAAAGACAGTCTTCCGAACCAAATATAGTAGCTCCCGATTTTCTGATTCGGATTTCTACGCAGGAATTAACATCTTTTGTTGCATCTACTACTTGGTTCCATTTCTTTGGTGGTCGAGGACTCTGTAAAATATTTACATTTCTACTAGTAACCACTTCATATAACATTTCGTAACCATGGAGGTATACTTTGATTCAGTTCACAAGCAAGCTGATAGAATTTGAGGAGTATTGTTCAAACTTTACTGTAATTGCCAAATGGGCTGATAGCAAAATTAGGTATGGCCTAGGTACTATCTAGCATCCAAGGTTCTGGACCATAGCATCTGACCTCAGATCTTCGCAGCGAAACAGAATGGCCATACAGGACACCTACCTGTAACGGATATATATTTGAACTTCAGTCACAAGTAGATAGCCTCTAAACGGGTTGTTATTAGTAACCTTAAGTGGTCTCGATATAGAGACAGGCGAGTACGTCCATTGTTGGCGCTAGGGTCTTAAATAACAAGCTTGCATAGTCATACCAACTCGCTCTCACGACTCTGTCTCTCATAAGTGAGTCCAGGAGATTTTCTGCTAAAGAATCAAGAGCCTATCTACATTACGAAACATGGCCCGAAGTTACTTCACAGTCCTGCTGGAGCTAATTATTATTGTTCCTTTTGGCAAATCCCACTCCTAAATACATAAGAGAGGGTCAAATAATGTTTCTTCGGTAGAACCAGCGAATTCAGACTAGTTGGAAAGAGCAAGTCTATGATGTGCTTGTCTCCAAAATCTCATAGTCTGTCGTCAGCATGAAAGTTTATACTACACGTTCGGTCAGGCTTAAGCCACCAGTTTGCCAGTTGCTGACATTTCACACGCTCATGTTTTTCTGCGAAAACATATAAAGGTGCATGGTTTCATTGTCCTAGTGTTCCAGACAAGAATTGTCGAAAATGGTAAAGGTTTCTGTTGAATGCAAAAAGCGATTTAAGCTTAATAATTGATCGATGACTGTTAATATACAGGGTGACTTCGAAGTTGAGTCATTTATTTTAATAGTGAGTAGATCTGATCAAAAGAAATGCGTTTTTCCTTTAACATTTTTCTGGTAAAATTAAAGTAACAAAGTTATAGCCCTTTAGAAGTTTGAGTACCGCCCTGTCTCAATAATAATATTATGTGCTCGTGTTTGGCAACAACGGATATAATCCGGCTTATCCGTGCATCGCATCGGAAACAAAAAAGCGAAAGAATTTGAAACGATGTTTTTACTACAATGTACAATTTTATTCAGTTGTTTTCCGTCAATGTGTCAGTCGGTAACGCGTAAGTGAATAGTGGTGTTTGTTGCGTGGCTTAAACGAAATAAAAAATGCACATGTTTACGAAAATGCTGAACTTGTGGACATGATTCTTATTTACGGGAGGGGGGTAGTCTTTATGCGGATCGGTTTCCCAATCGAGTGCAGCCAACCCCTCGTGCCTTTGTTAATGTAGTACAAAGGGCTCGTGAATCAGGTGACTTAAGACCTCACAGGGGAGGGCATGCCGGTGCTCCAAGATCGCACGATCAAATACAGGTCCGCACTGAAATACTTGTCGGGAGGATACTTTATAAAACAAGGTAACATTTTTTTTAATTTTTATTTTTATTTTTACACACATATTTTGATTTATCTTCCTTCTACAATCATTATCTGAAAATTAATGACTCAACTTCAAAGTCACCCTGTATAATATAGACTTGGCACCTAACCTATTTGAATTCGTTGAATAGAAGAGTACATCTGAAAAGGCTTTGATCTGGGTGAAAAGAGCCTGCGCCAAAGTCTGCTTTAATGTACGAGTCATTTGTGTACCAGGCTAGCCCAATTCCCCCATAAATCATCAAACTTCAAAATTTCCACTTGATGTACGGAATTTGCCTGCTAGGTTGTGTTGACGATCTGGTGATGATAGTGATAATAAGGGGAGAGGAATATTAGAAATGCTTTTGGCATATGGAATCATGAGAATTACCATACCGATGGAGGAAAATGGCTTGACGTTAGCTCGTGAGGAGACAAAAGTGTTTTTTTTAGATGGATTATTCGATTGACATGAATTTTTTTTACTCGAAAGATAATCTTGTGACATTTGTAGTCCAATCTGGACGTCCAATTTTCGATGACTTTTTCCAACATTTGTGGCCGTATATCGGCAATAACATGGCGAATGTTGTCTTCCAAATGGTCAAGCGTTTCTGGTTTATCCGCATAGACCAATGACTTTACACATCCCCACAGAAAATAGTCTAGCGGTGTTAAATCACAAGATCTTGGAGGCCAATTCACAGGTCCGAAACGTGAAATTAGGCGGACACCAAACGTGTCTTTCAATAAATCGATTGTAGCACAAGCTGTGTGACATGTTGCGCCACCTTGTTGGAACCACAGCTTGTGGACATCATGATTGTTCAATTCAGGAATGAAAAAGTTAGTAATCATGGCTCTATACCGACCACCATTGACTGTAACGTTCTGGCCATCATCGTTTTTGAAGTACGGACCAATGATTCCACCAGCCCATAAAGCACACCAAACAGTCAGTTTTTCTGGATGTAACGGTGTTTCGACATAGACTTGAGGATTAGCTTCACTCCAAATGCGGCAGTTTTGTTTGTTGACGTAGCCATTCAACCAGAAGTGCGCTTCATCGCTAAACAAAATTCGCTTATGAAAATCGGGAACAACGGCAAACTTGTTTTGGGCCCATTCAACGAATCTACTCCTTGCTTGATGATCGTTTGGCTTCAATTCTTGCACGAGTTGGATTTTGTAAGCACGCAAACCAAGATCTTTCCGCAAAATCTTCCATAAAGTGGATAGACACAGATCCAATTCCTGTGCTCGATGGCGGATGGACTCATTCGGGTATTCCTCAATGCTACGCTCTACAGTAGCAATAGCTTCTTCAGTACGCACCGTACGGCGTCTCTGGCGATACGAGTTATCAATTAGAGTAAACGTGGTGCGAAAACCTTCCATGGTTAATCGAATTAACTGCTCTGATGGACGATTTTGTTGACGATAAAATGGACGTAGTGCGCGATACGTATTCCGCACATAAGCATTATTTTCGGAATAAAACTGCACAATTTGCAAGCGTTGTTCAGGCGTGAGTCTATTCATGATGAATTGCCAAACCAAACTGAGAATAAATCACTTGACAGCTGTCAAATCGGTAGCCATCTTCAAAAGTAATGCCAACTTAAAGTTCTATACATCGAAAAAAATATCCGTTACTTTCTGGCAGACAGAAGCTAAGGCCCATATCGTCAGTCGTCCCTACAATTGTAGGGCGCGTTTATGGCCTTCTTGATTGTCATACTCCTTTCACTCCTTCAAAAATTTCTGGATTACACTTGTCCCGTGTCAGCGTCAGCGCTCTCCTATGGTAAAGATATGTTTTCTTTTTAAATTGTAGGAAATTTCACGCTGATAAAACATGATATAACTCAAAAGCAAGCACAATTTGATGCAAATAGATGTTTGTGACATAACCTCAAAATAGAGCGCTGACACGGAGAAGTAGAAAACTATGACAATCAAGGAGGCCATAAAGGCGCACTACAATTGTAGGGACGACTGACGATACGGGCCTAAGTTCATCGGTTGATAAGGTTGAGAACGCTCAGATTCGAACTACGCCAAGGTGTATGGCTTGGCAAACATTGGCAATTCCTGATATGGCTGATTTTGGCATTGGCGACACACTTGAATACGGAGCCCTATCTACAACAAGGCGACAAGAAAAAATGTTCAGAAGCCAATAAAAGGTGGTGTTGCACGTAGTTTGCTGGCTTACAGAACGGTGTTAATGCATGCATTGCTGGTGGAGGCTGGTATTCCGCCAATTGATTTGCTAGCTGAGGAGAGATGCGCTCTATATAAAAAAATTGCGCTAATTGCAGATATTAGAGAGTTTTTAGTGCAACGAGAATCGGATCGTTAAGCCTTCCTTTGTTATTTTTGCGACAGCAATACCGTATGTCGATGAAAAAAATCTACTTATGACCACTAAAGTGAACCGTGGTAATTTGAAAGTACTAAGTGACCGAAAAACCAGCAGAACTACAATAAAAGGCTTCTGTAATAAATGAGTAAAGTTAAGTTAATTCGTTCACCATTAACTTTATTCTGTTTTTTTTGTTGACGTTTTATTTTTATCTGTGATCTAAAACTCTTATTTATATCATATTTTAACTAATATGTTTTTATAAATTGAACTTATTAATTAAGCTTATTCAGTTTTACAAATTCCAGCAACAGCACGGACTAAGAAAAATTAACCTTACGAAATTAGCCTTCCCCTATTCTCCGTAACTAACGGTGCTTTCTAATTTCGATAACGGATAACGGAGGATTGTTTCGCTACTGGGCAAAATCTAAGAAGCGAAACAACAAAACAATAGCCCTTAAACGTAGATTGACTAGGGAGCGGTGCCGATAGATTGGACATGGTTGTTTTGACAGCAACCTAAAGAAGGTAGGAAAGAAAAAGTACGTGAGCTGCGTATATTGCAATGACAAGGAGATACAGTGGGAATTGACGCTTGACGAGATGATCACTACTGATAGTTTTGCCAGGCATATAAGCGAGAGCCAATGGTTAGTATTCAACCAGTAGTGGGGCGAATGGTGCTGGGCAAAACAAAGGATGACAAAAATACCAAGAAACCAGCAGTAGGTTAATATTTGTCGAATACATAGGTATGAACGACGGAGGGTAGGTAACTAATATCTTTGGTAAGTAAACCTAGCGCAACGCTACCCACCATGAAGAAAAGCTGCAAGCATTACCGTGATGGGACCTGTAGCGAAAGACTGAGATGCTTTAGTAAGTATACCCCTTCTGGAGAATCTCACACTTCGGGCAAAAAACGACGACAGGCAATACCGTCGAGATTTTTTGCCTGAGAGTGGATGTAAGAGCATTCCTCTGCAAAAAAACTGCTTGGTTGAAAGGAAAATCAAGGCTTATGAAAACACCGCTATTGAGTGAAAGACGCTCTTTACTTACCCTGAATCTCAATTCGCCAAGTGGTGGTTCTGCAAATGGTATTCCTCTGAAAGCGAAGTAGCGCCTACCATTTTCTGTCGTCATTTCGGTTCCTTGCACGATGCCATTTGTCGTTTTCACTTGCAGTGAGTTATTCTAACATATTTTCGTTATAATAGATTATTAACATGCAGAGATGAATCACTTTTAAAATGGTTAGGTTATATAGCATATTATCTAAGGAGTCATTCATTAAACTCTTGTAGTTGAATCAAATAAACAAATTATATGTGTATAATTATTAGAATTATAAATAGTTCACTACGGTATGTTGAGGCTGTTGATGAAAACTAATCCTCTTTCTGAAGGTTGGAACTTAGGGACCAAAAGTCATTATGTAATATCTCCTGGTATATATGTAAATAGCGTACTCTAAAGATGCTTTTATTGAAATAATTGTGAGATAATTATTACTTATTTTTATGCTTTTACAAAAATGATGGGTGAGTAAAGCTTAAAGCTTGTTGGCAAAATGCAGAATAGAGGAATTTAAAAATGTCAATTATGGAATTCTTCAATGCACTTGATGCCCAGAAAATGTTGGGATTTTGCCTTAAAATAATGAGAAGCTTTGTTGAATGAAATCCGAAAAACCATAGGTGTAACACACACAGTTTTAAATTATTACCTTATATATCTTGATTATTAGAAACATTTAACAATGTACAATTCGCAAATTCGTAAAACTCCACATGCTCTGCATAATTATACAACCTCATGCCACAGGATTGAGATGATTTAGAAAAATCACACAAAATATGCATTCCAAAAAGTATAAGACGCTTTGCCAGTTATTTGGCCTCTAGTCCATGCTCAATCTGAGTTGATCAGATTGTATAACAGCTAACATTCTGGATTAATTCAACTTTACAAAAAATTAAATTTGCATCTAGCGTTTAAGAGACGAATTGTTTCAAAGGGGCACACACATACAATTATTAACAGGTGTAAATGTGGCGTCAAGTAGGTTGACTCTGCAATTCTCACGCAACGCTGTCATCACTTTATGAATTATTATGCTCGGTATAAGTTAATCCCTCCGCGAGAAAAGTTAACTACGAGAATGTATAACGAAAAATTGAATGGATCAGGTTAATCAAATGAGCCCATACAATTAGTCCACATTCCCCATTCATTTGAAAACGTTGCGATCTAGAAACTTCTTCCCTGCCCCACCAGCATTATTGACCATCTGAAATACGTCTAATAGATGCGTATAATTTCCAGGGTTGGAAATAATAACGAAAAAGGTTGAGATACACCCTGCCACCCTCTATACCCAATTTTTCCCAAGAACTTGCAGGATGAAATGTCAAAAGATGAAGTTTGATCTATTTTTATTTGTTTTTTTTGTTTTGATTCATTTGCAAAAATACAAAACTTTTTCGCCTAAAGTATAATAACCTTGTCTCAAAATTTTGCCAAAATTCGAAAGGTACTTCCAAATGTATACAGGGTTTTCATTTTTTACTCAAAAATTGCGCATCGAAGGAAAACAATTCAAGAAATACTATTTGTTTTAAATTAAACGGGGAATTCGAAAATAAGTTTTACTTGGGAAAAAACCATTGGCCTACCATTTTTTTCTTAAAAAATGTCGAAGTCAATACCCATACGCACGCCACTGTTAAAGCTAAAAATTATTTTTGCATTGAAAAATATGCAACTTTATTAACTTTCACTACGTACTAAATATCAGTAAAATATCTGAAGCGGTTCTGAAAATATTAATTAATTTCCATTTTTTTCCTAAAACTTCAACACCCCGAGTTTTTGTAAGGAAACATTTTTGGACCATAGTTTATAAAGCAAACTAACATTAATTTTTCATGTAGATTCACACCCTTAAATATTGGCATATCATTAAAAATCCAAAAACTATAATATCCCACTTTAGGAATTATTCGCGATTACAATATTTTCTCGGCTGTAGCGTGGGGAGTAAAAAACGCATCGAATCCACAACATCACTTCTTTTCGAGGTCGAGTTAACTAAAAACGAGATCACAAACTGATTTGTTTTCACCATTTTTATTGTCTATGCCTTGAAATGACGAGGGAGTTACAAAACGGGAAAAGGATTTTTTTTCAAATAATGCATAATCCACGTAACTTCTTGGCTAAGCATAAATATGAGTAGAAACTCGAAATGAATACAAAAAACAGTGAATCCTATCAAAAAGTGACTTTCCAGATTTTATTAAAATACTCCATGTGAAAAAGATGAATTGACCGAAAAAATGAAAACCTTAGTAGCTAGTTAATGTACCACTTCACTTCACTTGTTTTCAGTTAAGAGACACTTACATATTCACTTTTTGGTAAAAACGTTAAAGCTTCCACTTGCAGGATCGACACCAGGACGACACTAAAACGGTACATGCTTGCGATCGAGGAATGAAACCATGTTTCCGAGATTCACCTCATACTGGTTCCTTTGTAGTGTCCATCAATGTCATGAACAAGGCGAAAAACCCACGTGGTTTATCGCGTTATCGCTAGCATTTTGCAGCCGCGTCATCGAGCTGCACCGGGCAATGGCATTTAGAGATTCATTTTTGCAAAAAATGAGCCATGTACATTGATTTGGTACCTCTGTTCCAATTGTTTCAGAATAAGGGAACAAGTAATTAGTTACATCTAAACCTTTCTGTGGTTTTCATGCTGATACATCTTTAGGTTTTCTGGCTGTTGAATGAAACCATATCTATGTAGGAATAACTTTTACAAATCATAAATGATTTTGACAATTAGTCCTGGAAGTTTTCGCATCCGCTCGGAGAAATGTTCTGATTCGGTTGTTTCTGCATTATCTCATTAAAGTGGACCCGTTTCAATGAATTTGCATCTTGCCAGGACCAACAATGCATCAAAAATTGTTTAAACAATTTTTTAAACAAATTCCAGAAATTGTTTTTTCGCTTCAGGTTTCTGGGTCATTCAATCCCGAAAAGGAATATGAAAAATTGAAAATTTTAATGTTGTTAGCATTCCTAAGTATTCTTTAAACGTCCATTGATTAAACTCCAGTGCATTTTTGGGGGTATTTTATTGTAGACCTTTGTGTCTTAATCGATTATCAAGTGCGCACTGATGCAGAATATATATTGAGCAAGCTTGATCAACAATTGTGAAAAACAGGTTCTTAATGGCAATACCTCTTAAAATGGTTTGGATGTTTGAGGAATATTCAGAAACTTTCACAGCATTAAATGTTTCATTTTTTCATATCCTTTTTTGTTAAAATTTAGACAATTGGATTCCCTCACACTTTTGGCTTTCTTATATACCAGCAATTTTAATTTTTTTGAAAAAAGATGTAGAATATGGAATGTTTCTTTGTGGTTTCACATTCTTGACAGCTAACGTACTAAAAAGTATGATAATAATGATAATAATGATAATAATAATAATGAATGGTCTTTATTCGTCACATGATAAATAATTGGCTTAAAAGGAATAGTGACGAAACGGTGGAGTCAGCTTATGCTGTTTTTCAACCCGACCTAAAAAACATTGACACAAACTATAAAGAGAAAATAAGTACCTACATTTAAATGGCACAGTTCACAACATTGACCACCAAAAAGAGAAAAGCTTAAAATATTGCACTGGTCAGAAAAAGGAAACAATCAATTACCTGTGGATATGTGTAAAGTTAAATTCTAGCCATTCGATTGCTTTAAACTCATCTTTAACCTTTTTTTTAAATTGCTTAGGCTATATTCTTTATACTCACTTGACAAGCAGGTATATAGTTTGGGTGTCCAGTATGAGAAACTACGTGTGAACAATGCTGTCGAATGCCGCGGGATAAGTAAGATGCGTTTATTACTAGAGGATCTTTGATCATACGACAGAGGAGGGTTATCGTTGAATAAAGATAATGAGCCGTATTCATAAAACAAAGGATATTCTTGTACTTGCAAATTTTGAAGGAAATCCTCCAGATGGTATTTATAATAATTTGAAGTAAATGCTATTGCTTTTTTAGTATAAGCATATCCTTCAAAGCAGTGAGATATATAAGTAAAAGAATATTCATAATCTTCACCTTATACTTGGCATAGGAAGCAAATCCTTCAAAAACTCTGAGTGTGGTCAGTAGCAGGCTCAACTTCGTAACGAAAGGTGGTCAAACGATGATGGCGGAAATTGTGGATGTTAGGGATGTTTAAACGTACAAACCTCGTTTATCTTCACTTGGTCGTGACTTCAAAAAATTACATCGGTTCGACGAAGCAAATGTACAATGGCTTGCGGACAGATTTTTAGTTGAGAATGAGGAAACTCGAGGACGAACATCTTCAAGTATTCATAAAATGAAGATATGTCTACGCTATCTCGGTGATCCTGGATATCAACACGGTATTGGTCAGGAACTTGGTGTTAGTCAAGCAACGGTATCTCGGACTGTAAATAGAGTTGTGAACAGCATAGTTGCACAGTCGAACGAATGGATCAAGTTTCCAACTACCAACCATGCACTGATGGAGGCCAAGCGGATATGGCAAAGCATGTATAAATTTCCGGCAGCAATTGGTGTAATTGATTGTCCACATATAGGAATCCTGAAACCAAATCGCCATGGAGTTGAGTATATAACCGAAAAGGGAAACCTACTTTAAATGTACAAGCCACTTGTGATGCCAGAGAGATGTTCACAAGTGTTTATGTTAGTTGACCTGGATCAGTGCATAGTTCGAGAATATGGAGAAATTTACAGACTAGATCACATCTAATAAATAAAGCAAATGTTGTACTAAGTTATAATAAGATTTATTTTCGTGAACATCAAAAGTTACAAGTGGCTTCTGACGCTGCATCATTTCCAAATTCGTTTTATAACACTCTTGTTGTAAAATACTTATTTGGTACTGGTATAATAGCACTAGACGTTGCAGTTCTTTTGTAGTTAATCCTTTGGTTTCCTCAGTTTCGTGTTTCTCTGTTGCTAATTGTCTTTTTGGTGGCAATGTCTTCTGAATTGCTGGCACTGTAATACTGTTTGCTCACTGCGGTCGGTATATAGCTCACTTCCTTCTTCTTGAACACTACCAACCTGAATGGCACCTCTAATTTTCCCAATTGTAGGATTACAGTCACCTTCCATAGCTTTCAGCAACTTTCTTTCCCAATCCAAAACAATGTAATTGCTTTATTACCAGTTTTTTTTACATCTGTTTTTTTCCTTCAATCTTGATTTCATGTTGTTGATTTTTTTTAATAAGCCTTTAGTAATGGTTTACCGAATGTTGATTCTTATTTTTTCAACATCTTTTTCAAGGTATCGTCCTTTCTTATTTTTATTTTTGAAACTTGTGACTTTTGCAAAATAATCAATTTGATAAAAAACTGTATCCAGTAAAAATACGGAACGGTCTGTGTAAGCTCTGGAGTACAACTGTCAGTGATGCTGATTGAACGAACTCTCACGTCAACTACAAGCTGGAACAAGTCAGGACCTGTCGCTCAAGGTACAAATATCTACCAATCAACCTTTTACTGCTTCTTGGAGGATATCCTCGCGAGTGTAAGGTAATCATTATGAATATGAAAACAATGATATGCTTACAACTCCTTTTTCTCCGAAGCAAGACCTTATACTTTTACCTTATGCTTCTCTTTTATGAATATGGCTCATTATGGCGCTTTAAGGAGAAGGGTCTTTATGTACCAGAGATAGGCAATGTAGTTTCCTCAATTTGTTCATCTTAAACCATCTCGATTTGTCAAAAGCGCTACTAATATGATCAAATTTACGGAATCCATAAGAAAATCTGATGCATGAGTTTTGCATCATCTGAATCCGCTGGCAGTATTGCGTGACAAGCGTAGAGACAAGCTAGTCGACGATATTTTTAATAGCTATATTCGGCTTGCAGTCTGACAACTTATGCGGCAGTCTGACACAGCATTGCACTTAAAATGTTAAAACCTTTTGAATCAATTATTTATTGGCAGCAATTGCGATTTTAGCAAACATTAGTAGTAGTTTGTTGGTTTTGTTGTACTATTGTACTGACAATGTAATGTAAATACACCAAAAAATTTTAAACAAAAATTCGCAACAGTTTCACTTACTACATGATGAGTTTTCGACAAACTGAAGAAACTAGTTAAATCTCGAACCTGTATTTGATGATGATTCGCCATTCCGTAGTTTTCCGTTGTTTTGGAATATTTGTTTGGGTTTATACATTGGCACATTTTTTAGAAATAACGCGAATAACCGATGAAAGTTGTAAACTGTTATGAATGCCAGAATTAAGATAAAACAGTTTAATGTCGTAGATCCAATTAGTGGTATATTCCAGCGTGCATGGGATTACCGCATAAGTTGGCTAGAAAATCGTACCCCATAGGAATTCTAAGAAATGGAGAAATATGGAATGGGTAAAGATATACCTAGTTGTCGTTGCGTCAAAACAATGAGTTTGAAGTTTCACAAATTTTTATCATTTGAGGCTATCTACCAGGACATCAAAACCTATCAAATTTCCTGTATTATAAATAGCCGAACTGTCAGGTCTACTGCAGGGTTTTTTCTGGAGGTCGTGCATTTTTTGCTACTTTTGAGGGCAAGCTGCAAAAATTTTAGTATGAAAAATTATTGTTAATTTCCACTTTTTATTTGTAATTTCCAACAGAAAAAATCGGCGTGCTGTATCTTCTAGAACCTATTGAAAAAATACTAGATTCCATGGTAGCGCAATTTTAATCTTCCGACGATGAATGCATCATATCTAAAATTGCACTTCAGAGCTGTAAAACTCCAAAAACAGTCTAAGCGGTGAACGTAACAAATCCATTGTGCTTTCAATGAGCTTTATTAATAGTCTATGAACGCTTTTGATCTACATGTTGAGATCAAACTTGTAGGGTTTATTCAGTGTAACAGTAGAAAACATTTGAGTATAGGGACCCATATCCAGCGCTTGTGTGTTGTTATCTTTAAAAACGATAACAGAGATTGTTTTTTGTAGCTGCATTCCATATCACCTTAGTCGTGGTATCGTATTTGTGAAGTTTGCAAAAATTTAACAAAAATTAATTGTTGCTAATGGAAAACTTTACCAATCAAGAATTGGCGGATATGTATTTGGCATACGGAGCAACAAGCTGCAATGCACGAGCAGCAGCGCGGTTGTATCAAGAATGTTATCCCGAACGACAGCATCCGGGATACAAAAGTTGTATGCATGATACTGGTGTTGCTCGAACCGTAAGAATGGTCGAATTTGAAGAAGAGGTCCTTCAGCGAGTTGCCGACGAACCATCAAGTAGCACTCGTCACATTGCTCAGGATATGTATACGAGTAACGCTTCAGTCTGGCGGGTGCTACACGAGGAACAACTTTATCCTTACCACTTCCAGAAAGTTCAAGGATTATCTGCAGCCGATTATCATCCTAGAGTTCAATTTTGTCAATAGCTTCTTCATCAAATCGCTGCACAGCCAAATTTTTTAAGTTATGTTTTATGGACCGATGAAGCCTCTTTCACAAGAGGCGGTATTTTTAATAGTAGGTATAGCCACGTTTGGGACAAAGAAAATCCCCATGCAATTTTTCCTAGAAAACATCAGCAACGTTGGTCTGTCAACGTATGGGCAGGCATTGTGGATGATTATTTGATTCGGCCATATCTTCTACCGGAACGGTTAACAGGAATTATTTATCGGCGTTTCTTGGAGGAAGTTCTTCCAGAACTTCTTGAAAACGTTTAAATCGGTGTATTCAGGTTGGAGGAAGACATTTTGAACAATTGTTGTAATGATATCATGTACAAAAGGCAAAAATTAAATGCATTAAATCCTATTTAGGCAATTCATCGTCTTTCTAAATTTTAGCGCATCTTAGGGCCGTAGTGCCGTAGTGACACTTTTCCGGATATGGCTCCCTATACTCAAATGCTTTCCACTGTTACACTGAATAACCCCTAGAAGTTTGATCTCTTAGTTCTCAAACACCCTGTATATGCCAAAAATTATTAACATCGGATAAACATACGTAGGTGTTTACCCTTTTTTGTCACTCGGTATAACATACTTGATGTGTCGAATAATTGAGATGCTGCTGAAAAACAATGAAGAAATCATTCAACATCTCTGGTTTCATTTGTTGGCCGGAGCAATATAATAAATGGAAAAAGTATTTTATACCCAAAGTGGCTAGATTCCCTGCCTGTTATATAAGGTACAATCTGACCTACTATTCTCCACAAGAAAGGAAAATAGTTTTCAGAACATTTTCGATTATAAAACCTGATTGAAACAAATTGATCGTACATTATTGAAGCAATCATAGAAAACAAACTTTATCATACAACGCGATAAAATCGTGCTTTCCCCTCATAATTGGTGACTTCATTGGGGAGTGTCGAAAACAAGGAAAGGCTGAAAACTTCCTCATTTATATCCGGATATGAGTCCCTATACTCAAATGCTTTCTACTGTTACACTGAATAACCCCTAGAATTTGATCTCTTATTTCTGAAACACCATGTATAACATATGGAATAAAATGGCGTCAACTAGGTAGATTCAGCACTTCCCACGCAACGCTGTTATTAGTTCATGAAGGATTACGTTCGGCACAAGTTAGTCCCTCTGAGCTAGATAAAAACATATATAACAAAGAATTAAATGGATCAAGTCAGCTAAAAGGCTCATACAAATAGTCCATATACATACAGCCCCCGCCCATTTAATAAAAGTATCGACCGTCTGGTAACGGTGGCAAACCACACCAGTTCAATATGCCATAAGTGCAAGCCGTAATAATCGAGAATCGAGAATGCCGGCGATGCAGTCACAATTTGGCGCGTGAACGTTGTCATCGACTCGACTGACCGTGTGTCTATAAATATTTCTCTTTAGAAGTGCAAATGCAGGTACATGCGTGAAATATATGCTAATAAGGACCGTATCGTCAGTCTTCCCTACAATTGTAGGGCGCATTTATGGCCTCTTTGATTGTCATACTCTTTTCTCTCCTTCAAAAATTTCTAGATTACACTCGTGCCGTGTCAGCGTCAGCGCTCTCCTATTGTTAAGATATGTTTTCCTTTTAAATTGTAGGAAAATTCAGGCTGATAAAACATGCTAAAACTCAAAAGCAAGCACAATTTGATGCAAATAGATGTTTGTGACATGACCTCAAAATAGAGCGCTGACACGGAGAAGCAGAATACTATGACAATCAAGGAGGCCATAAACGCGCCCTACAATTGTAGGGATGACTGACGATACGGGCTTAAGTTACCGGGGCTGGAAGCGAATAAATATACTGCTAGTTTGAGCCTGAGTTACTTTTTTTTCGTTTGTTTGCCCTTCAGGCCGCCGCCACTAGACCGACTTTAAAAAGCTACAAAGCTCTGTCGTTTTTGACATAGTAGTTATCTCGTGTGAGGATTTCATTAAAATCAGAGCGGTTCTTTTCATATAACACACAAAAAACAATGAATATCTCAATTACTATTTTTTTTTTCGGATTACAATACTTTCTTGCCAGTAGGTGTGGAAAGTAAAATACCTTAGACCCATAAACAACACCAAAAATGTATGAAATATTTACCGAATGGATTTTAAATTCGAAATACTTGCTAGGGATCCGGAAAATAATGA